TAGATTGATTTGCCAACTATATCATAAAAGTCTTTTAAAAATTAAATAGTCTTTCCGACAGTATAAGACATCCCTCTGCCCAATACACAAACATTTAAACATGGGGTTTTCAATTACAAAGAGCATATTTTATAAATTATATTAATAGTAAATTAAATTCAAGAAGGGAAAAGGGAATGTAGCCTTGGTTCTGAATTAACTAAGGCTTTCAGTTTGCTATCCTAGGCCTCAGTTAGTTTTCTTTCAAAACCCTACATATTTAAGTTCATGTATAAAGATGAGTAGCAAAATAATGAATTTGATAGCCTTCAAAGATTTCCTTAATTGAAATGTACTGCATTATTTATAACCTGACCAAGATAGTAGGAATTTTTTCCTACTCCTGGGCGGGATGGCACAATAGTCCTTGAGAACGCTTTTAAAAATAATTGTCACTTGGGAATGTCCCTATTGAAAACCCAGTGGAGGAGGAGAAAAGGAAAGGATGAGTCCGTACAATCCTTTCCTCTTCAAACTCCCACAGCGAAGGTATGGGTGTTGGCAGGTCTCTGCATTGAGCTGTTATTTCAGCAGTGGGAATAAAACGAAGATATGTGAAAGCTTGATAGTTACAGGCAATCCACTGGCCTTCCACAAAAGGTCTTTACCTTAGCTAGTAGAGATGAGTTTGCTTAAGAGTGCTCTCAATGCTCAAGGTCACCGAACACTTGGAAACTCAGAAACATGAGCTCTTCAGTTCATAAAACATTTAGCCCCTTCCCTCTCCAATAATATCAATTAATCCAATATAACAAACATTGAAAGGGATCTGTCATTTACTAGCCAATATGATACTTAGAAAGATACTTAAATGAAACGACATTTGACTTTCAAAGCACTTGAAACTGATTGGGAAGACAAACAGCAAATCTAAATAGCACCATATGAAAACCGATCACACATAGCAAGGCAATAGCATGGATCCAGAAAAAAAATTTCCTTTTTAAATTTAAGATGCCATGCAAGAACACCAACCTTGAGCACACACCTTAGGCACCAGCCTAAGACACAGACTAACCTAACAGAGCAGCCACTTATAGTGAGGAGTCTTCCTATAGTCGAATCCTAAATGTGAGGAAAGAGGGAAAAGAGTTTCTCCTGATACTTAGGTATCTCCCCAAGAGTATCAGAAGAGTATCTCCAAATACCCAAGCAGTATTCCTTGGCTGTGTCGCATCCTCACCTGGGGTTTGTTATAATTAACTCATAGCACTGCTAGTCTGCCTGATGGAGTGATTTTCCCCAGAAACATCCAGCTAGCTACACGCTAGATGGATCCAGAAAGAGAATTTTCCCAGATGAGCATGACAGAGAGGTCTTAGAAATTGAAGATATTGCAAAGAGAATAATCATAATGTCTTATGAAATCTAAGATATGGAAGAAGGTGAAGAGAAAAAAGTGTTAATGAACGTTGAGTTATTGAATTGGACAATGAATTATAACTTTTTTTTAACCAGAGAAAAAGTGAACCGTTTATTAAGAATTAAATGAGGTTATGAAATGTGATATAGTACAAGTAAGACACTCAAAATAGATATAACTATAACAATCACACAGAAAGTTACATTTCACTTAAAAAAAAACAGATCTACCCCTCTCCAAAAAAAACCCAACAAAATCCCAAACATGAATTATAACTCTTGATGAAATAAAGAACTGTCACAATAAAAATATTCAGGCTGGGAATTTTTTATCAAAACATAGAGTGTATAAATTTGTATTTTGGGAGGTGGTAAGAGTTTCTAGTGATGGAAAGGAAGTATATGAGAACGGCAGAATTTCAGGAAAAGATTGTTAAATATAAGGAAGTCAAGAAACTGAACGTGACATTGGATAATTCATTTAAATGGATGTTGACATCACCAGGCCGAAGGACAAGAAGGACTGAGAGCATAATTAGAAGTGGCACCGGGGAAGCAAATGTCTTCTCCTGATCCCACAGAATGAGCTACGTGTGTGTTGCAGGAGAAGCAGTGGTTTCAGGATCCAACAAGTTTCAGGTAAGGCGAGAAGGTAAAGAAAGCTTTCAGAGAGAACTGTTCCTTTGGTACTGGGATAGAACAGGATAGGGTAATTTAGCACCCAAGGCATACAAAGCGCAGCAGATTTCTTTTATACTCAGAACAGATTTTCCACTTGGCAAAGGCATGGGGCAGCTATAAGCTTGTAGCCATGACTCCTCTTCATTATTCAACTTCCCCATCACGCTACCATCACAATGGCTGTAGGAGTGCTGCATTCCCCTTACCATCCTTGCCAGAGTGTACTCTCACAATTCTTTGTTCCCCATAACACACCTGATTCCACTAGACCAAAATCCATTCATTTCTCCTGTCCTGCCTTCTTTTTTTTCCTCATCCCTCCATATCATCCAGTGAGACATTTAGAGCCCAACAGGAAATAAGCATCAAGTAATAAGATGTTTGTACTTAAAAAGAATTGTTTCTCGTCATCAAACCTCACTTTCTCTAAGGGGGCCTCCCCATCTGGTTGTTTAGAGTCTGTTGCTTACCTCCTCATCATACTGTCAAGAACTCCCAGACATTAGTGTCCTGAATCAAGAGAGAAAGGTCAAGAAAAGGAAGTGGTCCGTCATCACCTCTGTAAGACCGGCCTTTCCCAGGGGCTTAAGTGGAGA